AATTTCCTTGTTTCTTATTGGCTTTTCTTAAATTATGGCTATAATTACATACATTCTCCATTTTGAAATTATGAAATCTTCAGATACAAACTTTTTCTGATGATCTAAATGACTTAGACATCTTTTTAGATTTCATATGATAACATTTTCAATTAATTTTGAGCATTTTCTTAATTTTGCCAAATAATGACATCGAGAGAGAAAAAAATAAAATCATCATTTTGACATCAAAAAAGTAGAAGTGGGGCTGGAGTTGTGGCTCAATGGTAAAGCACTCGCTTTAAAGCATTAGCACATGTAAGGCACTGGGTTCGATCCTCAGTACCACATAAAAATAAATAAATAAAATAAAGGTATTGTATTCAACTACATATATATGTGGAGTATCATGGTACTTACTTTTAATCCCAGTTGTACTTAGGAAGCTGAAGCAGGAGGATCATAAGTTCAAGGCCAGCTTTGGCAATTTAGTAAGACCTGTTTCAAAATAAAAAGAGCTAGAGATGTAGCTCAGTGGTAGAGTGCCCCTGGGTTCAGTCATCAGTTACTGGGGGAGAAACAAAGAAGAAGGTAACTACAAAGTAAAACAACTTGTCTTAAGAATAGCAAGACACATTGTTAATAATGTTGTGCTAGACATTCTGACAAACATTTAAAAGACAACTGAAAATTAAACTAATTTTTATAGCATCCCTGTTGTTATGCTCATTTTATGGAAGAAGAACCTTGAGGTTCAGTAATGTCAACTAACCTGTCCAGAACAGATGTCTGATTTATAGGCAGCCCAAGTGCTATGCTTTCCCTCTTTGCCCTTCCTTTTCCTTAACAGAATCCAGGCACTTCAATCCTATGGAAATACTAACATCTTAAAATGATTTGCAGTAGCATATTTTTGGTAAAGTAGGTCTTCATCTGATATAGTGCAACACAAGTGAAAGCACAAATAACTTGATTTTTGGCATTTACATTTTGCAAACTTAGAATTTAAAAAAAAATATTCCTTCACATTGTTCTTTTATTGTTATTGTTAATCCACATAAGCCTGCTCATACTTCAAAAAATTTCAGTGTCAGTGTCAAGTTACGTAGTCTTTTCTAGGAATTTTAAGACATACTTTGAGATTTTTGTGGTTTAAAAAAACTAACGTTAGACTATAATGATATTTTTGAGACTCTAATGAGGCAGTTTTTAAACACTGCAAACTAAAGGACATGTATTGGTATTTGGAAACTTGTCAGTTTTTAGAATAGGTTAAGACATGATAAACTCTTTGAGTTAGGTTGATATGATACTGAATCCTAGGAACATGGGAATGCGCTCACAGGAAATAAGACGATCAAATGGCGAGGTTGGTGATAATTGAGAGTGAAAATGGAAGTTGGGGCTGGGGTTGTGGCTCAGTGGTAGCACGCTTGCCTAGCATGTGTGAGGCACTGGGTTCAATTCTCCACATACAATGCACCACATACAAATAAATAAAATAAAGGTCCATCAACTAAAAAAAATATAAAAAGAAAATGGAAGCATGTAATCAGTGGTGATTTTTGAGGGGAAAAAGGTGAATTTCTTGGTAATTGATGAAATAGAGGAGAAGGAATCCTTTGTTCCCAGATTAATTGATCTAAAAATGTTTGATTCTCATTCATAATCTGACTGCCGCATTTACTATATGAAGACTATATGGACTACTAAGAATAAATAGTGTTGGTGCTGGATAAGATGCTACATACATTTACAGAGAGAATTTGGGAGCAAGTGCTGTGAACACATTGAGTTCTGTGCCATACATGTGGGTACAATCTATCTTATATGATTTTTATGTGGTTCTCATGAAATTTTTAAATTTAGGATCACAGATATTATTCTTTCATTAGAAAAAAAGGTATTTGCAGGTGTTTGAAAAGAAATTTTTCCTTCAAATAGTGAAAAATATGGCATTTTTATTATAAAGCATTGTGGTGGAACTTTTGGCTTTTAAATAATTTATATGAAGTCTTACATGATGCTATTTCTGGAAAAAACTCTAAATCTTATCTACATAAACTTTAGTATTCCTTACAGGCTTGTCAGTTCTACTTATGTCAATGTTCAAACCAATAGGATTTAAACAAAACTTAGCTATGTGCTAGGATAATGAATTTATTTTATAGCAGCAGTTTTCAAACTTCAGAGTGAATCATAATTACATGGAGGACATTTTTAAATGTAGAAGGCTGGGTACCAGCCCTGAACTTTCTGATGAAGTAAGTCTGGTATGGTGTTGAAACTTTGCATCTTTGACAAGGTGGCACTTATGTTAAGATTTACTGTAATAATGAATCCAGAGTAGTAGTGTATGCCTATAATATGATCAATTTGGAAGGCTGAGGCAGGAGGGTCACAAGTTCAAGGGCAGCCTCAACAATTTAATAAGTTAGTAAGAGCCTTTCTCAAAACAAAAAATAAAAAGGGCTGTGGACTTAGCTCACTGGTAAAGCACTCCTGGGTTCAATCCCAAATACCAAAAAATAAACGAACTACTGTAATAATGAATAGGATTATTATATATCAATAAATGAATTAAATAATAAATTAATAAAACTTTTAATGCCTAAGAAATGAGTTTAATTTTCATAAACAGCTCAAATTCAGATCTTAGATGTGATAAATATAAATTTTTTTCATAATCTTTCGTAAAATTTATTGTATAGTTATTTATTTATAAATATTGAACAAATTAGAAAAAAATTTTAAAGCCATAAATATTGTTCTCTATTCATAACAAAAATTTGAGTATTTAGAGGTACCCTAATTAAAATGGGGATGCTTTCAGAGAAATGCATTATAGGCTATTTCATCATTATTAAGGGAACGTCATAGTGTGTATACTTACACAGATCTACATGGTATGGGTTACTTACTACATACCTAGGATATATGGTTTAGCTCATTATCTTTAGCTACAAATATGTGTAGCACGTTACAGTACTGAATACTGCAGGCATTTGTAGCACAATGGTATTATGTACCTGAACATAGAAAAGGTATACTTGTATAGGGCCCTTTCCCTGAATGGAGATTGTGACATGACCCCTAGCTGCCTAGCCACACAGCCAGCCCAATAATCTTTTCCAGAATTGGTAGTAGAGCTACAACCCTGGTGGATTGCTGTGCTGGTGGAAAGCACAGGTCCTGGCTCACAGGTCCTGAGACTGCCATGCTAGCTGGGGCAAGCCAGGGCATGCCCACCTGGCACCTCTTCTAGATCCCTGAGCCTGCACCATCTGGGAATACAGATGAGCTATGAAAAAGTGGAAGTGGAACAGACTTGAATGGAAGTTCTGACTCAAGAGTTAACCAACAGCATTAATACTTTTCCAAAATTTAATTAGCATAAATTGACCGGTGCTCTTTACTCTATAAACTACTAGACTAACACTTAGGTGGCAATCACTGTCTGGTCTTCTTTGGTCCTGCGGGAGTTCTTTTTCTACATATACTTGAATAAATTCTATTATACTCACTCATCCTTGTCTGTGGATTTCATTCTTCAAATTCACAAGATAAGAACCTAGAAAGAAGAAATCGATAGTGAGCTGCTGGGGTCTGTTTCAACACTGGAAGGCATAGCCTGTCATTAAGAGCTACAACATGTATCTCAGATGCAGATACCTGCAGTTTCAGCAGACCCCACCTGCCAGTGGAAATAGCTTCTGCCTTCAGCTACAAATATGTGTAGCACTATTACTATACTGAATCCTACAGGCATTTGTAATACAATGGTATTTCTGTTCCTAAACATAGAAAAGATGTTTAGGGCATTTATCCCAAATGGAGATTTCGGGTCTGAAGGTGCTCTGAATGAATCAGTGAGTAAAAAGTGAATGTAAAGGCCTAAGACATTATTGTACACTAATGTACCTTTGTGAACATGGTACATTTAGGGTCTGCCAAATATGTAAAAAAAAAAAATAATATTTTTTTTCAATAATAAATTAACCATAGATTACCATAACATTTTCTTTATAAATTTTAGCTTTTTTAAAAAAGCTTTTGATTCACTGTATAGGCCCATTGTTTAGCTGTACAAAAATATCTTTCTTAATTTACTTATTTGATGGTATTTTCATATTTTAAAAAAGTTTTTATTTTACTTAATGTAAGGGTCAGGATCTTCAATTTCATTGTCTTCCACTTCCACATCTTGTCCCACTGAAAGGTCTTCATGGGTAGTAACGTGGAACCTTCATCTCATGATAACAGTGCCTTCTTCTAGAATACTTTCTAAAAGACCTGCCTGTGGCTGTTTTACAGTTAACTTTTTGTTTTGTTTTTGTAAGTATAAAGAGTATACCCCTAAATGATGATAAAATTGTAATCTATGTAAATCAGTAAGTCATTTATTGTTACAAGTATTATCCACTGTATGAAACAGTATGCGATATACTTTTACATGACTGGAAGCACAGTAGGTTTGTTTACACCAGCATCACTACAATCATGAATAATGGATTGTGTTACAATGTCACTAGGAGATAGAGATATTTTAGCTCCCTTATAATCTTATGAGATCATAAGCCTGTATGTGGTCCATTTCTTGACAGAAGAATCATCATTATGTGGCGCATGACTGTATTTGAAATGATGTATTTCATTTATACTAATACTTTTTCTTGAAGTTAAAGATGAAGTCAGGGAGCATACCTGTAATCTTAGCCACTCAAGAGACTGAGGCAAGAGAATCTAAAGTTCCAGGCCAGTTAGGGCAGCTTAGTTAGATGCTGTCTTTAGATATAAAGAGTTGGAAAAATAAATAAATGGCTTAATATTCACAAAAAACTAGAAAAAAGACTCATAGAAATGTGGTTGATTTTGTTTCCCATTCTTTTCTCCCCCCATCAATGCCTATAGTTTTCTGAATTTCAAATTCTAAACCTCTAGAGGATCAATTGTGACAATATAGTTGATGTAGTATATCAACCATATTAGTTTTAGTAATTTTTTAAAATCTTGTTTTTTAGCTAATGGGAATGACAACAAGAAATTTAAAGGAGATAGACCTCCCTGTTCACCTTCCCGTGTTCTCCATCTTCGAAAAATTCCATGTGATGTCACCGAAGCAGAGGTCATATCATTAGGTCTACCATTTGGCAAAGTAACTAATCTTTTGATGTTGAAAGGAAAAAGCCAGGTATGTAATATTTAAAGAGTAACACAGAATGATTATCTCTGGGTGTATTACAGATAATTTTTCAACTTTTCTTATTTTCTAAATTTTATGATCATTAATTTTTAAAGTAGAAGAGTTTTTTTTTTTTGGTATACAAGGAATCAACAAATATTAATGCAAAAATTTTACCATTTTTGCATATTTACCACTTGTTGATTTATAAACATTTTCCTTCCTAACAAGAAATATTTTTGTATTTTACTCATAAGATGGTTTATGAAAACATCCTGTGATTACTAGAAGACCCTGATAGAGAGGATATAAATCACACCATATTTGACAAAGAACGGTGAAGTTTCCCAAAATCTAGATAGAAATGTATAGTATTGTCACAAGACAAAATTACAACGATTTTTAAGGTCTAATTGACTTTTATGTGAGATGTTAGAATTAATCAATACTTAATTCTATAAAATAGTATGAGGGTTAAGCTGGACATGATAGAATGGTTAGCATTTTTAAGGTGGAAACAACACTTTCTTACTAAGTGGATTATTGTAAGAGTTAAAGCAGAGGGTAAACATGTTTGGGTAGAATGAGCTCATGCTAATGGGTTGCTGTGAACCTTCTGTTAAAAACTTGTAATTTTGGAGGCTGGGGATATAGCTCAGTTGGTAGAGTGCTTGCCTTGCATGCACAAGGCCCTGGGTTCGATCCCTAATACCAAAAGAAAAGAAAAAGAAACTTGTTATTTTGGAAATTTATCTACCTTGTGTAGGAGGCTAATACAAAACAATGATTTCCTGTAAACTCATTTAACAGTATGTATATTCAGTTGTAGAATTAATATGTAATTTATTTAATAATTTGAGGGAGAAATAAGAGAGGCTTCATTTGGTAAGTTAATAGGGTTTTTTAAAATTAGTTATATTTTAACTGATACACAATAATACAAAAATTGGCACTGAGAGTGTATGCAGCTCAGAGAGTGGCTTGCCTAGCATGTACAAAAGCTGTAGGTTTTGATTCTCAGCCCTGCACTTAAAAAAATTCTATATATACACACACACATATACACACATATACATATATATGGTGTATAAGAATCATGCATATTTATGGGGTACCATGTGATTTTTGGTACATGTATATGTTGTGTGTTGTTTAAATCAGATTAAGCATATTTCCTGATTGATCATTTCTTTATGGTGAAAACATTTAGAATCATTTCTTCTAGCTTTTTGAAATATACTGCACATTATCATTATCTGTAGTCACCCTACTGTTCAACATAGCACACCAGAACTACTTATTTCTACTTACAATAACTTAATACCCACCCACTTTATGTAAAAATGTGAATGTGTAACCTATGTGATTCTGCAATCTGTATTTGGGGTAAAAATGGGAGTTCATAACTCACTTGAAACTATTGTTCGAAGTATGATATGTCAAGAGCTTTGTAATGTTGTGAACAACCAATAAAAAAAAAAAATAAAAAAATAAATAAATAAAATAAAGGTATTGTGAAAAAAAAAAAATACCCACCCACTGATCAGCCTTTCCCCATACCTTCTTCCCCTACACTCCCCACCCTCTGTTAACCACTGTTCCACTCAGCTTGTGAGTTCAGTTTTTTATATTCCATAAGATCATTCAGTACTTGTTTTCTGTGTCTGGTGTATTTCATTTAACATAATGATTTCTAGTTCCATCTGTGTTGTCATGAATGACAGAATTTCATTCTTTTTTATGGCTAGATGGTATTCCATTATGTATGTTTCACATTTTCTTTAAGATACATCCATCCTTTGATGGATGCTTTGGTTATTTCTATTTCTTGACTGTGAATAGTGCTGCAATAAACATGGAAGTGCAGATGTCTTTGACATATGGGTTTCCTTTCCTTTGGATATATACTCAGTAGTAGGATTGCTAGATCATATGATAGTTCTGTTTTTAATTTTTAAAGTAATCTCTATACTGATTTCCATAATGAGTGAGCTAATTTACATTCCAACCAACAAGTGTACAGGCGTTCTCTTTTCTCCACATTCTTGCCAGCACTTGTTATTTTTTGATAATGGAGTGAAGTAGCCTCTCATTTTTTTTTCCCAGTTTGTATTTCTTTGATGTTGAACTTTTTTAATATTTTATTTTTTGTTTAGTTGTGGTTGGACACATTATCTTTTATTTTTTTATTTTTATGTGGTGCTGAGGCTGCAGCTCAGGGCCCTGCGAGTGCTAGGCGAGCACTATACCACTGAGCCACAGCCACAGCCCTGATGTTGAACATTTTTAAGATACCTTTGACTATTCTTATGTTTCCTTCTGAGATATATCTGTTTAGATCTGTTGTCTATTATTTAATTTTTTTCTTTTTTTGCTGTTGCGTTTTTGGATTTCCTTATATATTTTAGATATTGTTGATAATTTCCTTTGCTTTGCAGATGCTTTTTAAAAACTTGATCTAATCTCATTTGTCTGATTTTTGCTTTTTTGGATTATAACCCAAAATTTTTTGCCTATTTCAATGTCCTGAAAAAAATAAGTTTTTCTGAAAATAACTAAGAAAATTTGATTCTCTCATGACTATAACAAAAATACAATACTTGTTATATTGATTTGAATGATTGTGTGCTTTCTTGTTCCAAAATGAGACCTCACTGGGATGTATTCTTTAGTTCTTTCCACTTTTTTTTTTTTT